GAGGGCTCGGTGTCGTGGTGCTCCTGTTGGGAACGGCTGACCTAGAGCTGCGGTTTCCAAGCATCTCAGGCCAAGGTACCTTCTCTTCTGGTACGGGCCTCGCTTGCAAATTGAGATAGCTGCTCAGGCATAGCTGAGATGGGGTCCTCATTGCTGCCTTCGCCCTGCAACCCCTCTGCTCAAAGCCCTTTTGGGGGGCGGTGGGGCTCTCCATCTCCCTGCCAGGCCTCCCTCCTCTCTTTCCGCTGGCTCCTGGTTTAGCTGCAGCAGTAGCAAGGGTATCTCTGCGTGGCTGGGTCACTTCGTACCCTGCCCGAAACTCCCACCTGCTTTCCCTGTCCCTGTGAGCAGCGATAGGGAGAGCTGAATCGAGTCCTCTGCCCTGGGAAGGGTGGTGGTGCCGGGGGTTGGATCGGCGCAGTGCTATTGTGCCGACTTGCTCCGGGCCGTCACAGCGCCTGCCGGCTCCAGCGCAGCTGCGAGGAAGTATCAGTGCTGGGAAAGTCTCTTGGATTTTTGATTTACAAGATGCTGCATAGCTTGGATAATGCAATAACTGGAACTGAACAAGAGAACTCGGTGCTGCTCCGTGTTTTGACCTTGCTAAGTTTTCTGATGTCCTGCTGGAATAAGAAAAGAAGTGGACGGTGCCTTGCTGCGTGGAGCTGCTATAAAACTCCTCTGGATCCTCTTTCCCCAGGGTGGAATTTGAAGGCAAATGCCAACAGCAAGCAAGCAAGCACATTGCAATGTAAAGCTTTTAGACCAGGAGCAGTGGAAGTTATTACTTTGGGAATTTCCAGGGAACATTAACATTGATTCACCAGACTGGTGAGACCTGCCTTACAGGTTGCAAATTGGTGCTTAACTTATAGCTGATGCTAATTACTTTAATATAATTAGTGTCTTCAGGCACTGTCAGGGCTCAGAAATGCTGAAAGCACTGCAAACAACCTGTGATCTTTCTCCCTCGGAGACCCTGCAGCAGGCTGGTATACGGCACTTTCCAGCACTGCCTGCGTCCCTGGGAGGCCGCTGCCGATGAGCTAGCCCAAGCTGAAGGAGAGTGAAGTAGGTGTTGCCTGCTCTGTATTCGCACAGGACTACAGATCTAAATAAATGAGCTGTTTCTTTCTACCATTTTATTTTTGGATACTGAAGCCCGAGCTAGAAGGGATTTATTCCGCAGTGGAAAGCTTTTCTGTGTTCTCCTCTTCCTCCTTATCTTCAGGAGCCTTGATCTGAATCTCACTCCAGTGCTTTCGCTCTAGTACCAGTTTCTCTAGGTGAAAGAAGCTTAAACTGGAGATTTAATGGTCCCTAGAGCTGTGTTTGTGAGAGTCACCCTTTGGCTGCCCTCCTCTTCCCGAGGAGGGTCAGTCTTGCCGAACCTCTTGTAGGAGAGGCTGACTGTACCTGCTCGTCATCTTGCAAACTCTGGTCACTGTTTGCGATTCACTTGTCATTTTGCAGACTTGAGGGGACTCAAAAAGCTAGTCCATCCTCTGAAATAGCATGGATTCCCCTTCTTTCCCTCCCCCGCGTCCTATCGCATTGCAAGATCCCACGGGGCCTCCATCCGCTTATGCAGCAGAGTTATGTGTTAGACTAATAACCGTGCAGTCAGCAAGTTGGAAACAATCTGTCCTAGAATATTACTGGCAGCTTCACTGATCAGGTTTAGCCTGTGCCCCTACACTGACTCAGCACAGCTCCAGTGCTGCAAGTGTTATTTCTGTGAACAGCGTAATACCTTGGTTGCTTTGTTCCGAAAACCGTTTTTTCCTTGAATCCATCTTTTCCTGCATTTCATTCTTTGCAGCTGGGCAGTTTCTACTGCGTTCTTTCCTGGGAGTGCTGAGAAATCTCGGTTTGTGAGCGTCTGATGGCTCCTTCTCCAGCTTTTTATTACAAACTCCACGTATGAGAAATCTGTGACAGGTTGTAGCTCCCAGCAAAGTCTGTTTTTTCCCTCGTGCTGTCTGATCCGTATCTGCAGGTGAAGGGCTGCTATATCCTTCCCCAGGAGCTTCGGTGCTGTCTCCGTGAATCACCCGCACTAATCTGTTACAGGGATTCGGGCCTTTTTGGAAGGGCTAAAACTCGTGTGGGATGCTGGTGGTTGCTTGCCGAATCTACTCAGAGCAGAAGTGTTTCTAGTCTTGCAGAAAGCTGTACCCATCTGTACGAGGAACAAGCCTGTGTGCACTTCCCCTACAAAACAGAGCTAACACAATGCAGCTGTTGTTATCCCCTAGCTGCTTTTTTTTTTCTCTCTCTTTGCCTTGCAGAAAGACCCTTGCAATCCTCCTTTGTGCTGCAGATGTCTTTTCACATCACTGAAAGGGACTACTTGGGTTACAGAGTCTCCAGCAGTTGCAGTTAACCACAGAATAAGTTTCTACCTTAAAAGCGCACATGGGAAGCCCCTTCCAAACACCCACAAAGCAATTTTCAACACTGTGTTATAACATAAGACCGCTAAGACAAAAGATAAAAATCTACGGCAGCTACAGTGCGTGGCTGAGCGTGTTTTGTTTGCTGGTGAAATGATCCAGGCATGAAGGGGGAGCTGAGACTGCTTTTTCTGCAGCAATAACACGCTAGATGAGGCCTGTAACTTGCTGAGGACGCTTAGCAGGCCTTGGAGGCTCCGTCTGTAGCAGAATGACTCTGTCCTCTGATGAAGCTTTCGTTGCTGACTGGTGTTTCCTTTCCTTTTCTTTCTCCTTGCCCCAGATCTGCACAAGAGATGAAGCATATGGAGAACATATCCAGCCTGTTTCATGGCAGCACCCCAGACGAGTATCAGAGGCTAGAGTCCAAATCGGGGGAGCAGCCCTGGGAGATGATCATGGACAAGAAGCACTTCAAGCTCTGGAGGCGTCCGATTGAGGGCACCCACTTGTATCAGTACCGAGGTAATTCGGCTCCTTGCCTGCTTGCATAGCTTTTTTTCCACATGAGTCACTGCAGAGTCCTCAGACGTGTGCTGCGTGCCTCCTGTCTGGCCTTTCTTTATAGGAACCTGAGAAAATGCAAAACTGTCGTCCTTTACTCCCCTCTTTACTGGTCCCATCAGCCCTTCAGAGTCGCCCTAGCCCTGACACTTGCCTTGGAAAATGACTTTTCCTTGAAATCTTGCAGCAATGAGATTAAAAACTTGCTTATGCCTGTGACTAAAGCCTTTCTCTTTACTGCAGTATTTGGAACATACACAGATGTGACTCCCAGGCAGTTCTTCAATGTACAGGTGAGTACGTGTGAAATCTAGGCTGTACAATGTGTTAGAAATAAAGTGTTATTTCCCATTCCTTGCCGGAAGGGATGGGATGGAAAGAAAAATGGTGATTATCATCTTCTGTTTGTATCATTTGCATGATCTAAACCAGCTTAGATTAGATCCTAATACAGATTAGAACGGGCCAAGTTATCCCATGTTTACTGGCTTCTCTGATCAGTCTCTGCTGCTCGTTCCTGCGGGAAGTGAAACATTGGCACACGCGGGCCCTTGGCCTTGATACGCTGCAGGACATGCAGGCATCATCCGGTTTCTGATCCTAGTTCTCCCTCTGCGTACCCTGCCGGGTAGCGTAGTGCACCTGTGCTTCCTCCTCTGCTGACATCTTTCAAAGTCTTTAATTTCTTGGTGGGTAAAACTTGGCCGTGACAGTTTGTTCCCCCAGGAGGAGGAAAAGGGATGGTTATCTTCCTTTAGTGGTGATATTGGTTATGCGTAGACTTTGCTGTGGTTCAGTCCCTTTTTCTTTCCAGCTGGACACTGAGTATAGGAAGAAGTGGGACTCACTGGTCATCAAGTTGGATGTCATTGAAAGAGACCTGGCCACTGGTTCGGAAGTGATTCACTGGGTAACTCACTTCCCGGTGAGTGATTCCTTCTCCTTTCCTGCTTCGGTTACCCTCCTCAACACCACACAAACGGCTAGCGAGATTGATTTCTGTCCTTTCCTTTCCGCAGTACCCTATGTATTCACGAGACTACGTATATGTTCGACGGTACAGCGTAGACAAAGAGAACAATTTGATGGTACTAGTGTCACGGTACGTATTGTCAGTTCAACCTAGTCGAACTGTGTTTTTGCCAGGGTGTGAGGATGTGCTGTCTCCTGTGTCTCTGGTGAGGGTCACATCCGTCCTGCTTGCTGAAGGAGTCGAGCTTTTTATGTTACTAGTGACTCCCTTGGTAACCAATAGAGTCATTTCAAAGCTTTGCCCCCGTTTCCTAGCTGTAGAACGGAAAATTCTGAGATGAACTGTAAAGAGCTGGGTACAGATTTTGTGAGCTTTTCTAAACGGCTGCAAAAACTCAGGGATCTGTTTGGAAAAAACAGCCTCCTCCTGTAGGGTGAAAACTATATTCCCTTAGTATCTGTCCTGGGTCAGCAGATTTTGGTGTAATCCAGATCCAGAGCTTATGTTTTGAGGATGCCGCCCTTAGTTGTAATGTTCCCTTCTGTTGTGTCTCTTCCAGGGCAGTGGAGCACCCAAGTGTCCCAGAAGATCCTGAGTATGTTCGGGTCAGAACCTACGAGTCTCAGATGGTCATCCGTCCGCACAAAACATTTGATGAGGTGAGTTTTCAGATGGTCGGGGAAACGTAGAGGAAAAGCCACTTGCCGTTCTGAGCTCTTCACAAGAGAGCCATAAGGCAAGCAGCAACTCTTGTAAACACTTACGGTTGTTGTCCAAGCAGTAGTTTCCCTGGCTGTTGTCCATAACAGTAATCTAGGGTAAACAATATAGAGTCAGAAAAGAGGGTTCAGTTTGTTTCCTGAATGCTAACACTAGGAAACCCTTCCCTGCTTCCAGAAGTGAAACGTGCTGTTTGGAGAGGACTTAGAATTTTGACTAGGTAGCTTGAGACTCTCTCTAAAGGAGAGAGACAACTTCAGAGAACCAGACTCTTTTTTTTAAAAAAAAAAAAAAAAAAAAAACTTAAGCCTCTAAAATCTTGTCTCTTGTGCTTAACTTGCTCAGAACAAGTGCTACTGGATCTTTGCAGGATATCTAGAGCCTGAAGAGGGTGTACTGAGGCAGTGAAGTACTGGGGTGAATGACACCTTCCTCCTCCTAAAACCTTCCTCTGTACTTTCACTGGGTTTTCTATTGCTCTGTATCGCCATATCTCTTCCTCCTTAATACTTTGACCAAAGCCCTGCAGAGACAGTAGTGCTCGCTGTCAGATGTGAGCGGCCTTCTGTTCCGTTTCAAAAGGGACCGTAGAAAAACTGATCACACTTTGGTAAAAGCTGAATGTAGTATTTGTAGAGATGCCAACATTTTGATCAAATTACCTTAAACATCTTGCTTTCCACTTAGCAGTGACAGCAAGGAAGACATTTAGATGAGAATGGTCCGGTAACACCCAGCAGAGTTCCTCTGCCCGGTCAGACTCACTAGCCTTCTCCTTTTTCAGAACGGTTTTGACTACTTGCTGACATATAGTGACAACCCACAGACCGTGTTCCCACGCTACTGCGTCAGCTGGATGGTCTCTAGCGGTGAGTTGCTGCCTTTAACCTGTAGTTGTGAGAACACACCTTGTAGGAATTCATCCGGCTTCTTTTTCTGGGCTGCGCTAAGCGCTCCTCCCTTTGGTATCCTGAGCCTGCGCAGGGCTGCGAGCGCCAAGCGAGGGAGGCAAGGGTTGAATACTGAGGCCACTGGCCTTTGCCTGGGGGATTTGGGGCGTTTTTGGTGAGCGCCCCAGGCTGCTCTTATGGGGAGGAACTTGTGCTTGGATTACTCACCGTGAGGAGGAAGGGGGGGGTCTCTGCACCAGAGCCCTGCACGAGGATGCTTTCTCTCACCAGTGTACTGTAGGCAGAATGAAGGAAAAGCAGGATCTCAGACTCCTCCTGACTGGTCTCAAGCTTGAGTAGTTGAGATCCACCTCTTCCTACTAAGCTGAACTGTTTTTTCCTCACTTTAAGTATTTCTGGGATGTAATTCTTTCCTGTCATGTCAGCAAACGGGAGGAAACTCCTTTTTGTTGCAGACGGAGCCTACACTGAGATTCCCAGAGTGGAACTAGCTTTAAGGAGAAAAAAAAAAAAAAAATCAGCATTTGCAGAATCTGGGAAGGACTGAACGGAGCAGCTAACAGCTGTATGCAGAGCAACCCACAGCTAAACCTGGCACACTTCCAATCCAGTACTAACTGGGAGCTTTATGGTCCTCCATGAGGAAGGGAAAGATTTAGAGAACTACTTTTTAGTGAGTTGGGAGTAAAAGGGGCTATGTTCACCCTTAAGTTTTGTTTTATAATGAAATAAATAAAAACAAATAAAGAAATAAAACCAGAAGCCACTTGTAGAAGTTTCAGCTACAGTGGTGGTGGTGGTGGTTGTTGTTTTTTAGCATCACACAACTTTGTCAGAGGGATGGCGGCAAGAAAGAGTTTAAATGCATCAACACATGTAACCATTAGACCCAACCTCCTTCTTTGCCACCTCCCTGCTCTTCTGTCCCTAACAAACTGAAAAGTCTACAGCCAACCACATCAACTTTTCTTTCACCGCTTAAACCTCTTTTCTTCCAGAGTGTGCTGTTTAATGCATCTAAGACTAGGGGAAGGCTGGAATAATATGGGCACACCTCTGACCTAGTAACCGGGTGTTGCAGAGACTGCCTTGATTTTGGATTTTGCACTTAACTCTCATTTTTAGAATGAAAATGGTGAATGGAGGAAGCACCTCCGAGGCCGAGGTTTTAATCGCGTGGAGCTGTTTGCCTGCCTTCTTCTGGCAGAGGCAGGGGTCCCCTCTTGATTTGAAGCGCAGAAAACTCTGCTGAAAGTTGGGGTGGATCTCATAGAAAAAACAGTTCTCTCCTTCTCTGTAAACTAGTCATTTGAAGGCACAAGGCTTGCAGTTCCTAGTAAGGGGGTTCAGAGAGGTCCATTAGTGACAGATGAGCGGACGGTTGACACCAGAGCTGAACTGCGAGTGTCTGAGGAAGCGTTCTGGTTAAAACCACCTTAAACTCCCAGTTCCTCCGTCCCTTTTTGCTTCACGCGCATCACGGGAGCACTGAGCGCTGACGCCACGAGCTGACGGAAGGACCAGCTGCAGGAGGAATCCTTTTCCAAAGAGGATTCCTCATCCAGTTCCAAAATCCAAATCCTCTTGGTGCTGCGCTTGCTGCCTGGGGCTCACCCGTGATATTTAAGCCCTGTGGTGTGTTAGATCTTTAAAAGTGTATATATATATATATATATATGTATAGTAGTACTCTAACCTTATTCTCAGTCAGGAACCAGTTTTGGCTGAAGTTTCATAAGTTGTTTCAACCTGAGACAAAGAAACCTCAAAGCGTTGCTTTCCCGAGGTTATAACTAAGCACCGGGGCTGAGGGCAGGAAGCGTCAGAAATACCTTGACGCCAGCGGGGCGGCGAGATGCGGCCGCAAAACTGCTGCCGCCGCAGCGTTGCGCTCTGGCGCTGGTACGGCTGGAGGAGTCGTAGCGCTGCGAGAGCTCGGTGCTGAGCTTTGACTTATTCCTCTACCGTAATAAGCAGGGAGAAGAGTTAGAAAAGATGAAAACTGAGCTGGAGAAGGGGATAAAGTAGGAAGATCTTGCGTGGAATCCGTGGCCGAGGTGGGAGAAGAGCTTTGCTGCTTTGGCCCTCTCGCTTTCTCCGAAACCGGTGGGATTCGGGTAGCACCTCGGGGGATCGGAGGTAGCAGGGAGGGTGCAGCGCAGAGCAGATGCTCACGGACGTGAACCCGTTTTCCTCTCTCCTGGTTCGCTCACTGTTGCCCGCTTCTCCTGCCAGGCATGCCGGACTTTCTGGAAAAGCTGCATACGGCCACCCTGAAAGCCAAGAAGATGGAGATCGAAGTGCGGGACTATATGTCTGCCAAGCCCATCGAAAGCGGCAGCAGCGAGGGGAAAGCGAGCGTGGCGAGCGCCGAGCACAAGAGTGAAGGCACCTGTGGCCCTGCCCAACTGGAGTACGCCTGAGGGCCCCCGCCGGTCCCGAGCCCCGGCACGCCGGAGCCGGGCTCGGGGGAAGGACCCGTCCGGTGCCGCC